TGTACTTTATTCAGTCATTTTTTATTGTTCACATAATTCTCCAAAAGAATATCTGGTGGTTTATTACTTCAACTCAAGTCAGTGATCGCACACTAAATATTTTTATGTTTAATCTTTATCTTTTAGTTGTTTTTATATAAGTGAGAAGGCAACAAATACTCTGAATGCTTGCCTTGCGCTTATTAGCCAGGAGAATTCTGCATTAGATGCTTTAAGAGGAATGTATAACTAGGTTGTCATCAATGTCTTCTTAATTCATCAATGGTATCAAAATAGATTTTCAGAAGTTTAAAAACTGTAAGTGGTCATTATGGTGTCACACTCCTGTAACCGCAGCACTCTGGGAGGCTGAGGCAGGATGGTGGCAGGTGTGAGCCTGGTCTGGGCAACTTACTCACTTGTGAGATGCTGTCTCAAACAACAAAATAGGATGGGGATGGAGCACAGCTCAGTACCCAGCACCCCCCTCCACAAAATAATTAGTCCATTAATCATATTTTTGTGCCAGGTTACAAAGCAATAGCTATAGCTTCTGTGGAATGCTGGAGGAAGGAAGTTTATGTACTAGAGTTGCTAATGATTTTGTAGCAAATTTTGAAATGGTTCCATATAAGAACTGTATCAACATCAAATGTCCAGTTGGGGATGCAGTTACCACCTCTCTGTGTAGGCCGTTCATTCAGTATTATTCAGCAAACATTTCTTAAGCACCATGTTCATATTTATTCACCATTACACTGAAAATATCATATCACACTTCTAAAACAAAGAAATACTCAATCAACAATTATTAATTCCATTTAGAAAAAAATTCCAGCTTGCTGCCAGCATTAATTTAATTTTTCACCATTATCAAGAATCACTATATTTTGTAGATGGACACAGGACTACTAGAATGCCATAGACAGAATGACGTCTTTTGTTTCCAAGGACTATCAATACACTATAGTGATGTGAAAAAAATAACAAATGTGCAGTATTTTGTGGCTACCTTTGGGAGTAAGGATAAGACTGTCTCTACAAGTTATCCAGGGATAAATGCTGCAGCCACAAGCTCTGCTGCTGAGTATTCTCAGGCCCAATAGGATATTAGTTAATAAAATGCGGTTACATTTGTATTGAGCAAATTAACACAAGAGATAACATGGTCCTTGCTGTCTAGGCGGTCACTAGAGTGAAAAAAGTGCAAAGCAGAAAGGGACACAGCGGGTGTTTGAATCATGTATAGGGAGCTCAGAATCAGTCAGTGTAACTGAGTAGGTTACAGATGGCTTGGTAATGCCACTGAATCTGTAGACCCTCAAGATGAATAGGAACCCTACAAGTGTAAAGGGAGCACATCAAATCCCAGCAGAGAAATCTACAAGGGAAGTACAGCTTGGGAGCAAGCATAGGAGCAGGGCATGGGCTCCTGCAGCAGGGGACGTGGAAAGGGTGCCGCAGTATGGGTAGCAGGATGGGCATGGAGAAAGCATGGAAGGTGGCTGGGAAAAGTTGGGGAAGGGAAAGAATTCTGTGACTAATACCTCAGAAAGATAATTTTAAAAGCAATGAGAAAAAGGGCTGGGAAAGGGCAGGAAAGCAAAAGGCTGTGTGTGTGTGTGTGTGTGTGTGTGTGTGTGTGTGCGTGTGATTATGTTGCTTTGTGTGAAGTGCTACTGGAATAAATTCAGACAATGAATATAGGTGATTAAAGCTTTAGCTTCCTGTAGTGGATAATGGAATTATTCCTGAAGTATCAGATATATGATCTTTAAGAAAAGAAAACAACTTCATGATTTTCTTCTTGTTAATGAAACACATGTTAATTTCAAAGCAAGAACATGACCCAATTGAATTCAATAGTATGGTAAAAGTCAGTAGCAGTCACATTACCAGAGAGAAGAACTGTGTGAGATTCTTCAAATTGGCTTTGGTTCTACTGTCTTGAACTACACATGAATAAGGCGGATGATGGATAGAGTAATGCAGACAACTAGGACTAAGCTCAGTGTAAGCACAGAAGTGGGTATAATATCTTTGGTTCCACTTTGCTGAGTGAAAGTTGCCAAAGCAGACATTTATTGCTAAATTATAATAATTATAGCTCATAATAATTATTTCAGAAATGTGCTAAGCACTATGAAAAACACAGTTGGAAAGCTTCATATTTTGCAACATACTTATTTAGCAATTCTTTTCTGTCTTTGAAGCAAAAGTGAAGAGTGCAAGTAAGCAAAATTTAAAAATCCCTTCAGTCTTCAATTCCCTTGGAGTGGACACTTCAATACGAAGCATGATGAAGTTTTATCCATTAGTTCAGCAACTCTTCAAGCCATACCAATTACAACACCGGACATCTATCAATGAACAAAATGTAGGGATGGTGTCTGTGTGCACAAAGCTCTCAGTCTTATAGTTCGGCAACATATTTTCTCCCTTTCTTCTGAAAAAGAAATCTCACTGACGTTTAAGGTCTGCCTCCATTCCCACATTCCCATGAAGCACTGTACTACTTCACTGTTCTGCGTGCTATTGGCCTATGCTTTCTCTGAAGTTTCATAATTCTTAGAGGTAGTGTTATTACCATAAGAGTTGGTTGTATGGCACAGGGCACTGATCGCTACTAAGTCTGTTCTCAGTAGAATAAAAAACTCCTGGAAGACAAATATGCTACATTACTTGGGGTGGAAGGAAATGTCTAATATCTAGTAACATTGAGAAACACACCGAATTCCAATAAAGCAGGTACATGTGACTGAAAAATATATTTCCTGGAAGCCTAGTTCTCACCGATCTTGAAAGAGCTGCCATACTATTTTTTTGCTAAGGCTAACTTGCTGTAATAGTTCGATCCATTACAATGCTGGTGCAAACAAAAGACCGAGTGAGAATTTTCTAATGGAATGTCAAAACATACTTATCTCACTTATTTAAACGGTAAATTGGTCATTGTTTCCTAAAGATATTTTACAATTTAAATGTCTCTAAGTGACCAAAACAAAAATCCAATCAGCTTTCCATTCCAAATAATAGTTCAGTTAAGGCTTGGTTACATAAAATTCGCAAAGGGGAGAATAAAACTGATCGTTTCATGTTGCTATCATCACACTTCTGATTGATTTGAATCTGTGACAAATTAGACCACAGTTAGACCACTAAAACAGGGAAGTCATTCTGTGAATCCAATCTGTACCTTGGCACTTTGAAAGAAGCTTTTTGTAGTTATTTGCAGGTTTCTTTAGAAGTACTTGAAAAGTCAATTTATATGATTTATAAAACATTTATTGAATAGGCATCTTGATAAAGTACACCATATTATTCAAATTAAGTATATTGCTTCAAGGAAACCAAGCTGTAAGGACACTCCAGTGAAGAGATGATGATTGATGCTGATAGAACTAGAAGATGTTTATCTTCATGATCTTTAAAGCTTGAAATCATTCTGCAAAAGATTATTTAAATACTTGATAATTTCTAAACGTTTCTAAGTGGTATAACTGTAGTTCTAGTCATCTTATCAGCCTGCAGAATTATTTGAAATTTTCAGAAATGGGAGAACAGGGACATTTATGACACATTGCAGGGCATGGCAGAGGGAATACAGTTTGAGATGGAAGGAAAACTGCTATAAAGATAATGGAAGGTTCCCATTAAAACATTCTTACTCTGTATGACTTAGAATTTGTTAATCAAATTGTGGTACCTCAGAGCTTTTCATTTTCTGTTTTTTAATAGGTGGCTTTGGAGATATTTACTTCTTTTAGAAAACAAATTCAGCTAATATTTAAGAAGCAAAAAGACTTCCCCAAACTCTCTGGGAAGAGATAGTGCCTGGGTACATCATCCTTCATCTTTGATCATCACAAAACCCCTCTTCATCAGCTCTCTGGCATAGTTGGCATAGGCCAAAGGGACAAAACATTTATAAGAAGTTTTATGTAACTTACTTGCCAATTCTCATTCTAAAGTCAGCACCAGTGAAAGTAACACCCAAAACACATGTTGGAGAAAGTATTTTGTTCATGCTTTGTGCATCAGCCAACATTAATGATAAAACCTAACCTGCCACAAGCAAGACACAAATCTCAGTCTTCCAAACAACAGACCAAAGAAGTTAACAAAGAATCATTTGAAATGGCCCATCATTCTGTACCCACACGCACAGACCCTCTTCCTTGATAACACTGTGTACTCTTATGTCCAGCTAGCTGCATAATACTCTGCTAGCCATGCAGATTAAAGAAAATTAACTGCATTTCTTATACACAAAAGCAATATTCCTGTTTTTTTGGCACAAAGTTTAGCCCACCTTTGTGCCTTAGGTATGTTTCACTAGCAAATGAAAAATCCACACAATCCATTCAATCCATGAATTTGCTGAGATACAAGCTACACAATAGTTAACAACCCGGTTTTCTCATCAACCTGATTCTGATCACAGAAACAGATGTTTAAATAAACCAAAAAGCAGAATACAGCAAATCTAATTTAGGATACCTCTTCAAATTTTCAGTTACTAACCCAATCGATCATAATGATATTGCCAAGTCTTAGTGCTTATGGTGATTTATTCAGAACAAGGAGAAGTATAGCAGAAAAGTGGGGCTACAGGGGACATCTAAAGCCACGTTAATGATAATGAGTTATGTTAATGCCACAGAGAGAATGTGATCTACCTTAATGGTCTATTTCTGTAGATGAAACTTTTCCCCCTTGTGTCCTATATCTTAATGGTTTTTAGAGTAGGCATTTTTAACCAAAATAAAATAAAGTTGATGCTGGATGCTGTTCACTTGAATTCTTATCATCACAGTGGCCTTTCTAACTGCCTGATGTTTTCCTGGAAGACTAGTGATAACAAAGTCTCATGTTCATTGAATACGAGCTGTTAATTTTCACCATAGTTAGTTTTAAGACATTTAGCTGTGACTATGGTTAACAAAGATGGTCAGTAATGTCAGGTACACATTCACACACAGACAGATCAGAACGGTGTTAAGTTTTGGGTTCTGACTGACCTTCAGGTTGATATTGTGCTATAATGGTCACTGTCTGTCCAGCCCCCTTTAATGCGGCAGCTGCCTGTTCATGGGACGCTCCACGGAGATCAATGCCATTCACCTAAAAGAGAGGAAATCAGAAAATCTCAGGTGTATTACCTTCATTTTGATAGAGGAAAAGAACTTCTGAAAATTCACAGACTGTCTAAGAATATGTCTTATATCCTCAAACCCTTTATACTTCATGTGCTTCTTAGCTTAACAATTTTCATCGTACAGAATTGATGACTTTTAGATAGAAGAGATGAAATATTATCCCGTGGTGTTTGTGGTATATTCTTACAAGGCTGGAAACATTTTTATCCATCCATGTTCACTGGCACTTTAATACACGCATTTAATAAGCCCCTGTGAGTTTTCCAGATTTTGGGGGTAGATTAGGGCTTTCAAAATTTGAGGGAAAACAGGATAATGAAGAGAGACACGTGTAACGTACACAGACAAGTAAGTGCTGACAGATTAATGTATTCAGATGAGGTTCTGGGGACACTGGAGGCATGGGGCTGGCTCTCTGCCAAACGCTGCTCTTTGCTCTGCCTTGGCCTATCACACAGAGCTTGGTGAGACAGCCCTAAGCCCTGTTCCAAAATAAACCTGACTGCCCCATTTCATATGCAAAATTCCATAATGGATCCTGACAAAATGAAAAAATTGTGCGTGGAGTTTATTTTATCATTGCAAACTCCCATTATAAGGGCTGTACTGAAAGAGAAACAGACCATCTGAAAACAAGCTCCAAATTGCCAAGATAAAAAAAATCATCTATGATTTAGTAAGAAGCAAAACTAACATCTTTTTTGAGTTAGTTCAGTCTAAGTCTATACAATATAATTGCTATGTGCTCTATGTCTGCCACAGGAGGGGGTCGATCAGGAGGTGGGAAACAAGACAAAACCCTCAGAAGCATCTCTCCTTAGGCCAGCATTTTACCTACAAAGAACTAGACTTTTACAGATGGTATCATAATTCAGGTGGTTGCTATGGCCCATGAGAGAATGAAAGAACTGATCCGCTAACTTACACATACAATGGATCACCTTATTTTACCTCCTTCGATCCTCCTTGACTGTGACACGGAGCGGCAGGTGGGTGTGGGGCTTACCACTTTGTTTCTTCTCTTGGAACATCAGTAATCTTCTATTTTTATCCTGGCCCTGTCATAACAATTTTGTTTAAGTTTCCTTATGTGCTTTTATAGTTTTGCTTCCCTCTTCCCTGACTTTCTATCCTGGTAAAGTCTTTCCTGCAAGTATGGATCATGCAGTAATGACGGGAAGTCCACTGAGGTAACCTCGTGTGGCTGGCCACCGACTAGCTGGCTGTCATTTTCCCTTTCTGAATCTCAATTTTCTCCTATCTCAGAGGGAAGGAACAGTTAGACTGCATGGGGCTGGAGGCTCTATGAACTCTAAAATTCCCAATGTGCTTGATGGTCAAGGACAGTCATTTCAAAGACTGTCTAGGCTATGCACTCAGTCAGAGGTGTGACCGTGTAGGCAGAGGAAAATGGAAAGGCAATTCTATCCAAACCCTCGCCAATAGGAAGCTGAAGTGTGCACCTTCATGTGTCAAATTATTTTTTCTCTCATCAAGCAATTAGATCATCTATTTGTTAAAAAATGATCATGGTGGATAAATTCTGTCCCAAAAGGTACAAAGGGAGAAGGTAAAAGTCTCCTTCCCAACCCCACTTCCAGTGGTCCCCGTTTTCGTGTCTGCTCCTTGGAAATGCATCATCAGTGCATGCAAGCATGCGCCCCACTTCTGCTCTTTCAACATCTGTATTTTAATACAGTATTTGATTTTTATTAAGCAGGAGATGTCATATATTCAACTTTTAATTATTTTCCATTTAACTATATAAATATGGATATCTTTCATACAAGCTCACACCTCCCTACATTTTAATGGGACCTTAATAGTCCATGGTGTGAAAGTTCCAGTGTGTTTAGTGAGATCCTTATTGATGTTTTGCTTTCCTGTTTTGCTTACTAGAAACATTTGTGAATATCTTTGTGAAAAGTAAATTCCCTGGAAATAGACTTCCTAGGTCAAAGGGTATATACATTATTAATTTCTTTTAAATTGATAGTATGCATTTGAAAATGAGTATTTACTAGTTAAACATGTTGAAACTACTAAGAAGAAAACAAAAAGGGCATAATGTCATTTACCAGATAACATAAATGAGTTGATATGAAAAGCAAAATTGGGATTGGGGATTTAGCTCAGCGGCACAGTGCCTGCCTGACAAGCTCAAGGTCATGAGTTCGATTCCTGGTAGCAGAAAAAAAAAAAAAAAAGAAAAGAAAAGCAAAATTGATATATGCACATAACTGAATATTTTAAAAAATTAAAACAGTAGAAAAGCATAAAAAGCATAAAAATAAAAGGCTCCCCACCTCTGATTAGTGTCTGAAAAGGTAACCATGTTGATGACTTCTTCTATATACTAGTCATTATTTTTTTACAAATATAAGCTGGTTTCTCAAATGTAGAATTTTAATTTTTACTTGAATAAGATATTACTTACAATGTTTTATACCTTGATTTTTCTCACTATTATACATCACTGCTCTTTAATGCAGTGATCAAATTCTTTTCAGCAGCTGTGGAGTACCTTAGTATTCAATGTAAAATTATTTACATTTTAGCAGTACATGGCCAGTGATATTGCTTCAGTATTTTGCTATTAATACCAATGCTATAATAAATAACATCTACAAGTAAGCTGGTTTAATAAAGAAAATGAGAATAAAATTTTGATAGTCTTTGCTAAACTACCACCAACAAGATAGGATTAATTTATGCTCCCACAAGTAATATATGATTTTATACTCTTACCGTAATTGCATATACCTTAACCTTTGAGCCTTTCCATTTTGATAAGTAGACAATTGTATTTTTAAATTTTGTATTTCTTCCATTATGAAGTAAAGCATTTTTTATATGCTCATTGGTTATTTAAACTTCTATATAAAATGTTCTTTTATTTTGTCTACTTTATTTCATTCTTCTAAAATTTATCGGGGGGCTGGGGATTTAGCTCAGTGGCAAAGCGCCTGCCTGGCAAGCTCAAGGTCACGAGTTTGGTTCCCAGTACCGGAGAAAAACCAAAAAAAAAAAATAAAATTTATCTGGCTATTTAAAATATTAGTACCCCATTTTAGATAACTTTTACAAATATCCTTCTTGGTTTATTACTCATATTATTGTACTTTTTATTTTAACTTTCATCGTGTGTTCTTTTTTCTTTTTGTCTTTGTCTTTTTGAGACAGGGTTTTACTGTGAAGTTCAGGCCGGCCTTGAACTCACTTGGTAGCTCAGGCTGGCCTCAAATTTGTGATAATCCTCCTGCTTCAGCCTTCCAAGTGCTGGGATTACAAGCATGCACCACCACATCCAGCTTGTATATTCTTTGTTGCCACAGAGCATTTTAAAATATTTTTAGAGCCATACTTATAATTTTTTTGTTTTAAAGTCTTGTTTCATCTTTTCCTCTTCAATATATTTAACTAATTTGCACAATAGTTTGACCATAGTTTAATTTTTATCCATATACTCTTTAATCCACTGGAATATATTTTGATGTTTGATGTGAGAATCCAGGGAATAGCCACTGTCTTTGGAATTTCTTTCTTTTTCTTTCTATCTATCTATCTATCTATCTATCTATCTATCTATCTATCTATCTACCTGTCTATCTATCTATCCATCCACCCATCCATCCAACCATCACTCATCTATTTATTGAAGATAGGTCTTGCTTTGTAGTTCAGGTTGGCCTCAGCCTCACTGTGGAGCCCAGGCTGGCCTCAAACTTGCAGTGATTCTTTTGCCTCAGACTCTTCAGTGCTGGGATTATAGACATGAGCTCCCACACCTGCCTTGAATCATTTCATTCTAGAATAAAATTTCTACATCTTTCATCCTAGTCACACTCTGAATTTTCCCATTTAATGCTCTAGGAAAAGTGCATTAAAAAGTGGGAAGGAAAAAAAGATATGGAATCATAGAGAACTATACTTGAATATCAGGTCTATCAGTTATTTCTGGGTAACTGGGGAAAGTCACTTCACTTTCTTGAATCTCAGCATTCTTACCTATAAAATGAGTACGATGCCTCTAAAATGACTACCAGGCTTGTTGTAGTTACTGACATACATTCAAATAGTATCTATTATTGTTCATAGTTTTTGAAGAGCTGTGAATATAAGTGATGTTAAAAAACTCTGGTGGAAATTAACCAATATAGAATGAATTATTTCATTTTTTTCAAGGAACAAAGAATTTATGCATTAGAAGAGTCTTAGAAACGTGTCTATCCAGCAACTAAAACAGTTAGAGATGATCACCACAGAACTGGTCCAAATCATTTCAGAGTTACAGCCCAGGTCACCTATGGCCCAGCCAGGGTTCTTTCTACTGCAGCAGATGTGCCCCAATGTGTGCATTTGCTTCTTTTCCTCTAGACCAGGCATAACTAAACTAAATCTTGTTCGGTTTATGCCTAATCCTACCTGGGTATCTGCATTTGTTGCTATTGTTAACCTGGATGATATCACATTTTGCTTGTCATTGCTGACTTTCCTCTTAGTTTTAGTGAGCACACTCTTTCAGCCTTCCAAAGTTTTCAGGGTGGTTTTAATTTTTATTTCTATCTCTGAGATTTGAGTTTTTATCAGTAAATTTTGCTTAAGTAACATTTTCAGAAGTATTCACAGTTTACATCATTGATATGACATTTTAAAATGCCATGTATGGCAAATCTCATACGGTTATTATTTCTTTTTTCTTCTTTTTTTGCTTCTGTTTGAATTCTCTCTTCTGGATGCATGGATTCTCAAAGTTCTGTTTAAGAGGAGTTCTATTCTTGAAGCATGGATTTTTGAAGCACTAATAATAATAATCATTGTAAACATTAATTGACTCAGGCATAGATATAGGAGATATTTAAACATTCAATCCTCAGAAGGCTGGGATTAATTCTCCCATTTTATAGATAAAGAAATTGAGCTCAGAGTCACTAACAGGATTAAACAATGGAAAGAGGTTGAAGA